GGAAGGTTCCTTGTCAGGTCTACCTGGAAATGGGCAGGCTTTGGATATTGGAAGAATATCAATAAATAGTCGTGAAGATAGATCTAACTCTGAAGAAGGACCGGGAATCAGTTGGCCAGCCATCTGTTTCACCCTCTAGGACAGAACCTTCTAATGCTGTTGGAGTTGCACAGTCATCGCAGAATCATAATAGATCTAGTTCTGCCTCTGGCAGCCTTTCTAACACAGATTTCTCTCGAGGGGAAACAGCAGATGCCAATGAGAACTCAGAGGCTCATGCTACAGCATACAACAGCGATACCTCTGGGGAGATGAAGTCAGAGCCACAGACTCCTTCGCCCTTGGTCACTCCGCAAAGAGGACCAGACTTCTCATCTCGTGGGGAAACACGGTCTCGTAGCCAAACAATCTGGCGTCGCCCATCAGAGAGGTTTGTTCCAAGGATAGTTTCTTCCCCCGCCACTGAAACAAGAGCTGACCTTTCTGGAATCGAGGCCCAAGTTCGGGAACTGGTTGAGGAATTGAATAGCCCCTCAATTGATACTCAAAGGAAGGCAACAGCTGATCTTAGGCAACTTGCTAAGCATAACATGGATAATCGGATTGTAATAGCCAACTGTGGGGCGATTAGCTTGTTAGTTAATTTGCTTCGATCATCAGACACAAAAATTCAAGAAGATGCTGTTACAGCTCTCCTTAACTTGTCAATTAATGATAACAACAAAACTGCAATTGCTAATGCTAATGCAATTGAGCCACTGATCCATGTCCTTGAAACGGGAAGTCCTGAGGCTAAAGAGAATTCAGCTGCCACTCTCTTTAGCCTTTCTGTGATTGAGGATAACAAGGTCAGGATTGGAAGATCTGGAGCAATTAGACCCCTCGTGGATCTATTGGGAAATGGAACTCCCAGGGGTAAGAAGGATGCAGCAACTGCTTTGTTTAACTTGTCAATATTTCATGAAAACAAACTCCGGATTGTACAAGCTGGTGCTGTAAGACATCTTGTAGAGTTGATGGACCCGGCAGCTGGGATGGTTGATAAGGCTGTAGCTGTTTTGGCAAATCTTGCTACAATTCCTGAGGGGAGGACCGCTATTGGTCTCGAGGGTGGGATTCCTGTTCTAGTTGAGGTTGTTGAGTTGGGTTCTGCAAGAGGAAAAGAGAATGCAGCTGCTGCTCTTGTCCAGCTTTGCACAAGCAGTGGTAGGTTTTGCAACATGGTGCTCCAAGAAGGTGCTGTTCCTCCTCTAGTGGCATTATCACAGTCTGGCACCCCAAGGGCTAAAGAGAAGGTAAACTTTTGATGATAGTTTTTCCTGTTCTTCCTTTCCCAATTGTAGAATGTTAAATAACCTCAAAGTTTAGAACATTAGTTTTGGACATATATTTTCAACAGGTGGATGCTAATATTTAGAGAATATCAAATTTGAAAAACAAAATCTAACTATTGAAAATCTAATTCTTATAACTAATGTTGTGAGCTCAAACTTAAAAGTATTCATTTTCTGTATTCTGCAAAATAACATGATTCTCTTCTGTTGAATGCAGGCCCAGTATCTTCTTGGCTACTTCAGAAACCAGCGGCATGGCAATGCTGGGAGGGGCTAATTTCAGGGCATGCATTCAACGCAATCTGCAGTTTTGAGTCAAAATGTGTATATGTGCTGTTGCAAATAATGCATATGATGTTTTTTATGCTTGGGTTTTACATGATTTGTAGAGGAAAGTAATTTAGGGAGGATTTGATTGAGTCTGGCATTGATTACTGATATTTGTGAATGTGGAAGAAAAATTTATGCATGCAAGTCTGGCAGTGAATTGAATCTGGCAAAGATGATGATGACCCATGAATAATCAATGCTGTTTGGTGGATGTTTGAATGTTAATTTTCTTACTAGTGGTTAACAGATAATTAATATCCAGACTGTTTGTGGATATGTGCCCTTTGTGGTTGTGATTTTTGGGTAAAGATTTTGAAGAACGTGAAGTTGGGCATTCAAAAATTGACCACTTCCGTTTCTGGCATTCGTGATCTGGCGTCGAATTGTTTCTCATTTGAATAGTACTGAATATCTAATGCCTGTCTAAACTCACATTACTTCTAGCTGAATAATGAATCATCTCTTCCTCTCTCTATGTTACATGTATATGTCACTCCCTTTATGTGTTAATTTCTCTCTTTTGAAGGATTCTTGATGATATAATTAGTATCAAAGAGTGGTATCTGAACAGAATGGTGTATTGGATATCGAGCAAATCGAAGATTATTCATAACATAATAGATAATG